TCGACATGGTACGCACTTTATTAATGAGTCAATCTTTTTTTATTATCGTAAAATAGTTCAACCTTGATTAGTTATTTTAATTATTTTTAAATTTAATCAGAGAAACAATGATTTTCTAAAATAAAATATTATTTCCAAGATAGGAAAGAGATATGCGGTCCTGCATTAACGTTTTTAACATTAATTATTAACGTTTTTAATTAAAAATTTTTTTCGCGATTGTTTTTAACTGTATTGTGATGATTATTATAGATATTCGCATTTTATTATTAAGAATTATAATAATCATAAATTCAACGGAGGAGGAAGATAAATGGATTATTAATCGCGTTATCAGCCTGAAGGTGTGAATTGATAAAGCTTGCTTGTTATATGATAATCGTAACGCACGTTAATAGTTTCTGATCATCGCATGCAGCGTCAATAAGTAGTGTATTTTTTTTTCGCTGACTATCAGTCGAATGCAGCGCGTGACGATTAATAATTATCAAATGAACTGGCTCGTACGTGACGATCTTACTTATCGCGCATGAAGACCTCATTCATCACGCTATGCGGGCCTACTTTTATACTTATTGCTGATCTCTGCATAATTAACGTGTTAAAAACCATGAGGCTAATATTTTTTTAAATTTGGGCTTGTACACAAGTCAGAATATATGTTCTTCTTATAACCCTGTTTGGTTTTCCAACCTAAGAAAAAAGTTACAGTACTATGCGTTAAATTTGGATCAAAGATCTTGTGATAACCTTCGCGGGGAGTTAGAGGTCTCACTTTTGCTTTATTGCAATTTCCAAATTTCCAATCTCAAAGTTGATGACCCCAAAATCATCTTATCTCGCAGCCGAAGTTGAGACTCTTCGCAGAAATATTATTAGTGTTAATTAATAAATGGGAAGTAAAAAACATTATTTAAAAATTAAGAAAGCGATTGTTTCGTTTCATAATTAGATGAGTGTTAGAATAGAGAAACGGAAAATTGCTCGTCAAACGATTGGTTAACCGATTGCGAAAATTTCTTGTTGTTCTCGGAGTCCAACAATTGAGAAAATCCATATTAATATCATAAAAAATCGTAAAATTTCGATGTCAAAAGAGGTAAAAAATTAATATCACAATTATAAGTGTGTAACATCCAGTATATAAATTAAAGAATAAAGAAAAACGTCTAACGTTCTCGACAGATTCAATTGTACTGTTCTTAATTTTTAAATAATGTTTTTTATTGCGCTGAAAAAATTTTTTTCTTCAAACATTTGAAGAGGGCCTAAATATAAGATCGAACCATGTATGTAATTGTATTTTGTAGCGTTTTAACTTTCGTACTTTCTACAGTTTTTGTTTATTATATCTATCTTTAATTATAATTATATTAAATGAACAATGGAGATTTTTTTTAAGTTTTTTTTACTCTCTCTTATTAGCCTTTTATATCTCGTTATAGTATTTTGAGCATTAAGAGTCCTGTTATTTCAAGTTTTTTTATTCTAATAAATGGGAAATATTCTTGAAGAAGATTATTTTAATCTTTTGAAAAATTTTAATAATTATAGAATACTTTAATAAATAAACTTGAAATTCTAATTTTCATGATTATACAATATTAAAATTATTGAAATTAATTAGAATAAACTTAAAAAGCTTAGAGGATTTAGGCAGTCAAAAGAAATCTAATCGAAAATAATTATTGCAATAATATAAGTTTTTTATTATTGCTCCATCTAACATATTTTGCTTTGAATGCAGATGTACGGCGGTATGCGCGGTATCAAGGGCCTCGTGTGGGAACCATCGGTACTGGATCCGGAGGAGGGAATCCGATTCCGCGGGAAGTCAATCCCCGAATGCCAGAAATTTCTGCCGAAGGCATCCGGTGGCGCGGAACCGCTCCCGGAGGCTCTCTTCTGGCTGCTGATTACCGGCGACGTGCCTACAGAAGCGCAGGTGAAGGCCATCTCGCAGGATTGGGCATCCAGGAGTTCGTTACCCGAACACGTGGTCAAGGCCCTCAACAATTTCCCCAAAACTCTACATCCGATGACGCAGTTCTCCGCGGCGATTACGTTGCTGAACAGCGAGAGCGAATTTGTTAAAGCGTATAAAAAGGGTGTGCACAAAAGTAAGTACTGGGAAAGCGTGTACGAGGACTCGATGAATCTGATCGCCAAACTGCCGGTGGTTGCCGCCACCATTTACCGCAACATCTATAAGGGCGGCAAGGGTTTGGGCTCCGTCGACGCTGGTCGGGACTGGTCCTGGAATTTCGCTAACATGCTCGGTTATGATAATCCGCAATTTATCGAACTGTTGCGTCTCTACTTGACAATCCATTCGGATCACGAAGGTGGTAACGTGTCCGCTCACACTACTCACTTAGTGGGATCCGCCTTATCAGATCCGTACTTATCCTTCTCCGCTGGTATGAATGGTCTTGCCGGACCACTGCACGGTTTGGCTAATCAGGAAGTATTGGTGTGGCTGGAGAAGTTACGTGGTCAGGTTGGCGACAGTCCCAGCGACGACAAACTCAAGGAGTTCATCTGGAATACACTAAAGAGTGGCCAGGTCGTGCCCGGCTATGGACATGCCGTTCTCAGGAAAACCGATCCGAGGTATACCTGCCAGAGGGAGTTCGCGTTGAAACATTTGCCGGACGATCCGTTATTCAAGGTAAATCGCGCATCTTATTGCAATGTTTTAAGTATAGTAGAAAGATTTTATTCCGCTTTAAATAAAAAAAAAATAACCGAATTCATTAATCCGTCTCAAATATTTAAGAATATTGCCATAAAAATTGAGAAAATTAACTTCGTAATATTCAATTTTTTTCACCGTTGCATTTTTATTTGCATACACTGAGAAAAAAATTATTATAACTTGACTAAATGCATTTATTTCGTAGTGATTATTTTTAGTAAATGGATTGAAATGGATTGAAATGAATTAAAAATTTCCAATTCATTTTAATTTATCTGAGTTCGTGCTTTAGAGGCCGGAGTTAGATTGAAATGAATTAAAATGAATTGATATCTGAGGGCATAAATTTGTTTCTGTTTATGAAATGGATAGAAAAGAAAATAACGACGTGAAAATAAATGTCTTTATAAACATTTTTTTGATTTTACAATAAATTTATAATTTCTTTTTTATAAATAGAACAGTATTTTTATATCCATTTCGATTGAAACAGGAATATTCCTATTTAATACTGTATTCTGATATGAATTTAGGATATGACATATATATTTCTTATTTTCATAATTTTGAACTGTAATGTATTCACAGTTTACAAATTATATATATAGATATATATATGTTGAAATTTGTTTTAATTGAAATGAATTCGAACGAGACTGTTCTTATTCATAATTTTGAACTGGGATGTATTCATGGTGCTAACTTATTTACGACATAAGTATTTTTTTATTCGGATAGACATATGAAATGAGCTATTCATCATGTTGAATTGAATGATTCATGTCCGTATTAGATTATTTTTTAATTGAAGTAAATTAAAATACAAAAGAACTATTCATGTTGAAGACATATATATTCATGGATTCGAGAAATCGGAAATGTCGAAATGAATTCATTTCTATCCATTTCAATTTATTCTCATTTAATGGTCAAATATTTAAATTAAATATTACAATACAATGTTATAATTGTTTGAATTAACAAATATTTGTTTAAAATTAACAAATATTTGCTTGACAACCCGTGTCCGTTATATTTAATTGAATAAACTAATATTTTTTTTAATCAGTAACTTTTTTTCTCAGTGTACAGTCTCATTTTTACAGTGTACATTTAATTGAATAAACTAATATTTTTTTTAATCAGTAACTTTTTTTCAGTGTACAGTCTCATTTTTACAGTGTACATTTTTTCTCACACTCTATTCGGAATTCAATTAGCATAATTCTGATTTAATTTCAAGTTAATAATTTGTATTAAATTTTGATATTAATATCAATATTGATGTTTTCTCCTTTACAGCTTGTCGCACAAGTGTACAAGATAGTTCCGCCAATCTTGTTGGAGACTGGCAAGGTGAAGAACCCGTGGCCGAATGTAGACGCGCATTCAGGTGTGCTGTTGCAATACTATGGCATGAAGGAAATGAACTACTACACGGTTCTGTTCGGCGTGTCGCGCGCGTTGGGCGTGCTCGCCTCTCTCGTTTGGGACCGCGCCTTAGGACTACCCATCGAGAGGCCTAAGTCCCTCAGCACCGATCTCCTTATGAAAGCTGTCAAGGCTTAAGACGTTTCTCACTGGATCGACGATCGACTAGCATCACCTCGGAGTCTCGTCGTCTCCTGATCTCGATTTTGTTCGAGCGTCAACCGCGGCGCCGGGAACTTTGATAGGATATCATTTTGATACCAATCTCGATGGAGACACCTCAACGAGCCCGCGCCTTATTGAGCAAATGATAGTGTGATTGGGAGAGAGCGAAAGAGCAAAAAAGTGAAGAATGAAAGAGACACAAGGCTAGGTATTAAACACGACAAATAATTACGTCTAATGTATTACCTAAATGTAGAATTATTAAGAGCAGATACAATGTTCCCCGTCAACGAATTCGCGTTAATTCTCTTCCCGCTATCGATACTTTCAATGAATGATGATAAACAGACATGTTAATCACACAGACATACATTATATCTGTATAAATTAATTATATACATAGATATATAATATAACGTGATATAACGTATAAATTAATTATATAGATATATAATATAACGATTAATTATATAGATATACAATATAACAATTAAAAAAATTTTTTTAGCTAAATTTTTACAAAGTATTAATTGCGGGGATAGGCTTAAATGGGTGTTCTCACAACGTAGCTGCTTACATAAGTGGAAACGTAGATTGGTCCAATAGTGAAAACTGCCAAAATTGCGAGGAAACTCATGGTAGTGCAAAAAGTCCAGAGGATAACTTTTAGATGTCTGAGTATTAAAATTTTTAGACGTTCTCTAAATGTTTTTCAGATGTCTAAAAGATGTCTCCTTGAATTTATTTATAGAAACACACACACACACACACACACAAGATAAAAAAACGCGTTAGAAATAGATAATTATTGTAAATAAAGTCATCGCTCAATACAAAGCAACATACCGACTACCGCTAGAAATTTAGAGAATTTAAACTACGCAAAATCTGCGGCGATAGTTAACGTGTTAGCCTAATGACATAAAGTCGTAAATACAATAAAAAATAGAGACTCGAAATCTAGATTCATTACGTAAGGCAACATAAACGTTCAAGAAACATCACTATCTAAAAGATAATTTAATTTAGATCGGATATCATTCAGAGAATTTTTTTTTATTGTGGCACTTTTATGTTATTCGGAATGTAATTAAACATGAATTAGAAATCGTAATGTTGTCTTGCCTCGTAACATAAAAAAATGCACCATATGATGTGTGTCATATTTCTTTTTCGAACGGATGAATTACTTCAGAAATGTATTGGATTTTCTAGTAACAGAACGGTGTCATAAAGAATAGGTCTTGAAAGCAATAGTTGGCAATGGAACGCCAAAAGGCGAACATGCCAATTAGCTCAGACGTAGATCTCTTGGCCGTTAGTTTACTGTCCCACTTCCCTCAGGAAATTCATTCTAACTGTAGACGGAATAAATACTATATCTATGATTCTGATTGTTTTTGGAATGGCAAAAGAAATGCTGTTACTGTACGCGAGTTACAGTAGTTAAATACTTAACGGCATACAATGACGCAGAGTGATTAAGCATACTTAAAAATAGTGTTTATAGTCTCGTCGTAGAACGTCATACTTGGTCGTATTGTGACGAGAAATCGCCGTGAATACAGTGTAAAATTAAGAAGTATGACCAGTGATGGACCCACTGTTATAAGAATGAATGAGTGTGTGCATATCTTATTTATAATGAATGTGAAAATAAATGGATCAAAGGTAATCGTAGCTGACAAATCTTTTCTCCTTCGGGACTTAGAATTCACGAAGCACCGTTCGCCTAATCGTTCGCCTTAATACGTAATCCCAAAAGTCTACGATATTTATTCGCTGAATATTCTATCAAAATATCGAGAAAAGCTTAGATAAAGAATAAAATTTAAAAAACTTTTAAAGCGATATTCAATAAAGTATTATCAATTTTAACACTGAGTGAAATATGCTTAATCTAAAGACAATAAAAAAACTTATATACATTTCTTACTGAAATGCAAATTATAAGAATTAGGAAGTAGGATGGTATTATCATGGTAAATAAAAACAGATCTGTATATTTCTTATTGATAGAAACTGATTTTTAATTTATTTTACATCCCATACTTTTAGCCTTTTTATTATTCATTAAAGTCGAACAGGATTCCCTGACTTATACAATTATATTAGATAAAGACTAATAATCGGAAATGATTGATTTTTAAAATCATTATTTCGATAGACTCGACAGGTCGGGCTGAGTTTGCAAAAGCACGAATCATGTTTTTCACACGCACGCTCGTTCCACCAACATTGCGTTAAAACAACTTATGTCTTGTATTTTACACATTCCGAAAATTTTATTTTTTTTACACAATTACAGTTAAATAGAGAAGACGGACGCCGTGGATAAATTCGACGAGTGTAGATTCGGTATAATATACCTCGCATAGAATTTTGAGGAGCAAACAATGTACACGGGAGATACGATTCTTATGTGTCACCAACATTTAAGAACCCGTTTCTCAATATGAGAAAGCTAGCGTTAACTTTTAAGTGTTATGATCTCACTCTGGCATTAGACGGCATTTATATCTCACCGCGTGATGCTGTTAACAACGCCTGTACAGTCATCTTTGCGTATACCCATTAATCTTTTAGAGCACACATTGACAATTTCCCCTTTTTTTAAAGCTACGATAATTAATATTATATCTATTGGAGTATTTAATGCTACATAAAAGATAGATTACATTTACAATTTAAATAAAGCAAAAACGAGACAGCTGTCAAAGTTGGAGACAAGATGATTTCTTTGTGTCACGGACTTTCATTAGTACATCCATCATCCTGGCGGCACGCAGTAACCGCAGGTGAATGGAACCGGAAGATACGTTTCCTTAAATAATTAAAAATTCGCGCTTTAGATAATAACATCACTTGGAACAGTTACAGTAGTGAACTATATCAATTAGATATACATATTAAACTTATTCTTCACTGCCAAGAAAAATAAAACGAAGCAGGTTGAAATCGTTCAGCGAATCAGTGAGTCAATAGACGAGTTTTTGATTTAAAGCTCCCATTCACCTGTCGCGATATTACGTATGTCGCATCCTAAGAATATCATCAGCCTTCCATCGAGTTTTATCAGCCTATCCTTCGTTGTGCTTTTTTTCCGCGCGTCATATAAGCCATATCGGTTACATGACATAATCAGTAAACAACTGTCTCAAAATTGAATCCACGTATCACAGAGCAGTTCATATTCTGCCTTGAGAAGTTTTCCTCAATCGAGTTACCTGGCCATGAATCTGCTCGGCCCTTACGTACAGAAATGTCGCAAGATTTTACACTTTTTCTCTCGTCCGGCATTATATTTCTTTCTCATTTTTTACAGAGCTCGCTCTCTTAACGAGAAGTATAAAAAACTATGTACATTTTCTTGCGTTCTTACATATGAACTGAGTACGAATAACGAGTTGCCTCCCTCCATCTATTTTAACTGCTTGTTTTACTGCAGAATTTTACTGTAGGTGGACGGGATAAGAAATTTCTTACTTTTATCATGCAAATGATAACATAATTCGCAATCGATAATTCCTTTTTTAACGAATTAAATTATATACTTGTTATATTCAATGATCATTTAACTATGATAATCAACCAAATATACATCTTGTATATGGACGCAAAAAATAATTATCTTTCTTTTTAGTACTCGCTTAACATCTCGCTTTGTACATTTGCTTTGTACATTTCTACTTGTCTTCATTCTTTTCTTATCTCTGTATTGAGTTGAAGCTTGTTATGTCACAAAAACAATATCAAAACTTTCCTTTGATTGCATAAGCAGCCAATGTAATTAGCTGTAGAACAGACCCGTCCACCGATCTTTAAGTGTGGCTGCGGCAATAAAATGATCGGATGCACTTTGAGGATCATACCAGGAGATTGAAATCAATGAACGAAATGCGACAGCCCATGCTGTTTTCTTCTTTCGTATAACTGTCAAAGTGTGTAACCAGAATTAACTTAGCTCAATAACATATTTTACATTTTGGATATTTCATTAGACTTATAAATGGCTCTCATAATGTACGTCATGTCTTTTTTAAACGTCCGACGATCCATTCCAGTCCCTGGTACAATCTGAAACATTTTTTATTATCATTTATTTTAAATCTTATTCCTTTATCCTGCTAGAAATAAGTTCATAATCACGCTACGGTCTTACCCTTCTCCAGTGAGGGCGCAACAGCTCTGTATATGCCATTGATGTTTTTTGATAGATGTCAGATCCAATTGTCTTGAAATCTCAGCTGCAGTCATGCTGCCCTTTAAGTCTTGTTTGTTGGCGTAGACCAGAACATTGGCTTTACTCAATTCTTCGTGGTTTAGCATCGAATAGAGCTCTTCCCTAATCATACCGAGTCTCTCTCGGTCAGTGCTATCTATGACCATAATGATAAATTCGGTATTCGTGTAATAAGTAGACCAAGCAGCTCTCAGACTCTGCTGACCACCCAAATCCCACATGATAAAATGAATATTCTTCCACACAACTTCTTCTACGTTGGATCCGATGGTCGGAGACGTGTGGACAACTTCGTTCATCAGGAATTGATATAATATTGTCGTCTTCCCGGCATTATCCAAACCAACCATAACTATTTTATGCTCTGAAAACAATAAATTTTTATTATAAGGTCTATTTCTTTATAGCTAAACTATATTTTTCTTTATAGCTAAACTTTATAGCTAAACTATAGCTAAAGATCATATAGACAGATAAACATTTGAAGTTTGGTGAAAGTAAAATAGAAAGTTTTAGCACTATTTAATGCAATGACAAAGAATAAATGTCTAATTTAATAATTTTGATTTATATCCTTCCAGATGTAAAGGATAATGTGATGAAAGTAGATCAAATTGAAATATAAGTGGCAAGTCAAGGATTTAAATTCAGGGGTCAAATCTTCAGATACAGAATGTGATTTATGTTCTTTTTTTAACAATGTAGATTAACTTTAATCTCAGTTTAATTTATTCTTTATTTATTATTTTCTGATTCTTCAAACTAGAAAAAAAAGTGAAAAGTGAGTTAAACCAAGATTAAAACCACATATCCCTAATCTTAATCTACAGTGTTAGGAACAGGTATTAGTAGCATATGTTAACAGATTAGAGAAAGTAGGCCAATGTACATGCATAGAATTTCTAGTAAAAATATCATTTGACTTATCAAGTCATAGCTCTATATCAGATTCTTGATAAAATTTACGACTCCAAGAAAAAACGCTTAAAATAATACTTGTAAATTTCGTGATTTCTTATTGTAGGTCCAAAATACTTCCCGATCATGTGACAAGTTTTATACGAGTGATCGACCCTTTCAATTAAACTAACAATCATAGATCGCTGATCGACAATCAGTCGATCACCTAGCACGTGTTATCACAAACATATACAATAATAACGTACAAAGGAAGCGGAGAGAAAAACTATGACTCATGGATCTTATCATAGTATTTACCTTCGTTGCCGAAGAAGCTCCACAGCTTCGCGAACAGCAGTCCCATGTTGACTGGACAGCCAGAGATTAATCGAATATAATCCGTTCGACGTCACGAACTCACCGTCTCCTTAGGAGAATAACTCGAGAACAGGGCGGTTCATTGTCTCTCGGAGGGGTTATGTTCGCTTCCGCGATGACGAAATGTCGTTTACATGCGACGATGGCTTATGGACCGACGTCATAATCGCGTCGGAACGTCGATGCGAATGCTAGCAATATGCAAATGCGATCGCGATAACGATTGAAGCTGCGACGCGCGAAGAACGGGCGAGAAATTGACGGAGTACGAGAACAGCCTGTCTAGCTGTCTAATTCAATCGGGCAAAAGTGCGACATGTTGCTTCTCTGTGCGCCAAGTGTCCGCACGCCCCGATTGAGGCGCTGCTGCGTTCGGCAAAGCTCGGCAATATTCGGCAATGTTCGGAAGCGCTTAGTTCAGTCGGTATCTTATTGGTATCGGGAGTATCGATAGATCATAGTTCACGTTGTTTTATAAAGTTGATATTGATGTCGCTAGGCGACGTTGACACCACGTATAGTTTCAGTTTTTGCCACTGCGATCGATTTAGGGTTTCTTCGACTAAATTCCGATTTTCGATTAATTTAATCGACTGTAATTGACAAGATTTATCTGTAATATTTTATACATAGTATATAGGAATTTATTGAATTAATCGAGATCGTCCCCACTCTGAAGTTTGCCACTTTCGTTAATTAAAAAGATGATTCCGATTATAAATTTCGATTTAATTATTCAAAATTTAGACGAGGTCGTTCTTTTAATAGATCGACAAAAGCAGCAAAACCAGCAGCAAACTTCAGAGTAAGGACAATTTCGACTAAATTCTGATTAACTAATTATAAGTCGGAATGTAAAGATCGTTCCTAAAGTTCTGCTGTTTGTGTTGATTTATCGCAACTTTTTTGAATGGCTAATTATGTATATATGTATATTTACATTTTAAGTACAGAAAGTACAGCTGCAAAGAATAGATTGTTCGTATTTCTCCTTCGATATAACACAATTATTTTTTATATTCTGTTATATTTCTCCGATAACTTTGATAACGATCATTTTTCAAGGAACACGAAATTCGATTTTTATCGTCTCTAAAATATTTTAAGTGAAACTGATATTTTCGATCAGAATATATTGTTATTGCAGCTTTTTTCAAACGTTGCTGTAAAGAAATATTGCCTCGTCAGCCATTCGGAAATTACTTCCTCTAGAAATACAAGTAAATTCGCAAAGCCGATAATATCGTGGAAAATTATTTTCTATAATTGCTATAACGTCATTTAATCAAAGGCATTTGTATCATCTTTCGAAGGAATTAATATTAAGAATATTCAGGGCATGTGGCCACGAGATTGCAGATTAGATAAGTCTGTGTCGTGGCGGCATTCGCGTTAAATGCTGCATCATCGTTATCACATCGTTATAACACGAATTCTACTGGCACGAGCGACGTGGTCTCGAGAACCGTGATTGGCTCACAATTTGTCGGCTGACGGTGCAGAGCACGCTGTTTGTCCATACGTCCTTCGACGACCTGAAAAGCGACCACTTGTTGCTCCTACGGTGTTTGTTACAGCAGTCTCACGTTGTACATTCAGTTAGATTTTATTACATTCGTCATCATTGATCACGTCTGCGAGCCGTCTACAAATATGAGTACTCAGTGAGTATTCTTCTGTTACGTCCACATTCAAAATAACATAGAATGCTTTCTATTTAATAACATAAATCGACACAAATATTGTTCTATCTTTGTTATTCATTAAATTTAGAATGACGTGTTGATTTGTTATTAAGGACGGTATTTATAGTTCATTCTTATATTTAAGATTGTCTTAAATAGAATTTTACGGTGCAATGCTACATCTTAAAACATCACCTAAATTAAGATGGTTTTAAACGAAAAACCAACTATGAATATCGACTTAAAATGAAAAGCACATAAGAAGCAAAAAACGTCCAAGATTAAATCTTGGAGCCAAATAATGGGCCTGTTTTTTTTTAATTGAACTTTTTGCAGATTCATCTTTTCCAACGTAGAAAAGTGTAAATTTAACTATTATTAAAAAAAAAACAGGTCTAATATTTTTATGTAAATTTTAACTATACCTCTCAGTTAAGTAAACTGTGATTGTTAGCTATTTATTCAGAATAAAACGCCAGCAAAAACTAATCAAAATTTGTTACTTAATAAAAGAGAGCTACATCAGATAGTACATATGTGATAATACAGATGTAAGAAGAATAAAATCGAATTAAATTTTTTGGTGGATTTTACATGAATTTCCAGGGTGGCAGATATTGCCCTCATTGGCTTAGCAGTTATGGGACAAAATCTAATTCTGAATATGAACGATCATGGCTTTGTTGTATGTGCGTATAACCGTACAGTAGACAAAGTCAAGTCTTTCCTTGAGAATGAAGCCAAGGGCACAAAAGTTATCGGTGCTTACAGTTTGAAGGAGATGATTAATACATTGAAAAGCCCAAGAAGAGTGATGTTGTTGGTTAAAGGCAAGTTTCTTTTATTATAACAATTAAAGATCTATAATTGTAATTATAATAGTAATTGTAACTGCAATTATAATAATACAATTTGCTCTGATAACAGCTGGTTCAGCTGTAGATGCCTTTATTGAACAATTAGTACCTCTTCTCTCTTCTGGCGATATTATCATTGACGGTGGCAATTCTGAATATCAAGATACTGAAAGACGTACCAAAGATCTAGAACAAAAGGGAATTCTGTTCGTTGGCAGCGGAGTCAGTGGAGGAGAGGATGGCGCCAGATATGGACCGTCCTTGATGCCCGGAGGCAATCCCAAAGCTTGGCCGCATATCAAACCTATCTTCCAAGTATGGTCTATTATTTAATAAAAATTTATGAAATTGCAAAATTTGCAAAATTGTAATATCTTTTAGTTAACAAGTTACTAATAAGGTCGAATGTACAAAATTCTGGGCAGTAATTTGTGCTCTAAAAATTAGATTATATTTATTCCTTCTGACATTAATTAATAAGAACGTTTGAAATCTTTTAGGCAATATGCGCGAAGGCTAATGGAGAGCCGTGCTGTGATTGGGTAGGCGAGACTGGTGCGGGACACTTCGTCAAGATGGTGCACAACGGTATCGAATATGGCGACATGCAGATCATCTGCGAGGCGTATCACCTGATGCGAAGCGGCCTGCAGCTCACGCAGGAGGAGATGAGCACAGTGTTCGACGAATGGAACAAAAGCGAGCTGGATTCATTTCTAATCGAGATCACGCGGGACATCCTCAAGTACAAGGATGAAAAGGACTATTTGCTCGAGCGCATCAGAGATACTGCCGGCCAAAAGGGCACTGGCAAATGGACGGCAATCGCTGCATTAGACTATGGTGTGCCGGTCACGCTGATCGGTGAATCGGTCTTCTCCAGGTGCCTGTCTGCGCTGAAGAATGAACGCGTAGAAGCGAGCGCAATATTGTCCGGGCCGGATCCAATATACAAAGGCGACAAAAAACAATTCCTCGAGCACTTAAGAAAGGCTCTATATGCCGCGAAAATTATCTCGTATGCGCAAGGCTTCATGCTGTTAAGAGAAGCCGCCAAAGTTCATAATTGGAACTTGAATTACGGTGGAATAGCATTGATGTGGCGCGGTGGATGTATTATAAGAAGGTACGAAAAATTTATGTCACTTTCAAATTTATCTAATTACGTCAATGTTACGACAATAATCTTTTTCATACGACCTATATTTTCTTTTAAAGCGAATAGTACATATCAATGTCAAGGTTGTAGAATATTTCTCAGGGGCATTATATCTAGCGTCACATAAATTTACATACAAGATAGATCTCATTTCTTTCAAATGCTGATTTTAAATAAATCATCTTATATAAAACCGAGATGTAGGATGAGGATCAGGATTATTGTTCTTATACTTCAAATCACTCCAAATAAAAAGTTATACATATATATTAACTATTATATAAAGATGTAAATTCGGATATAAGAAACGACATAGACAACATTTCAAAAGACTAAAAACATCTCGAAAACATTCTTTAGAGATGCATATTATTAAAATATTTGTAAAATTGTGATTTTTTTGCAGTGTATTTCTAGGAAACATAAAATCGGCTTACGACAAAAATCCGAAATTATCCAACTTATTGCTGGACGACTTCTTCGCCAAGGCTATGGGTAAGTGCCACCAGAGTGCCAGAACAGTGGTGAGCACTGCTGTGACGATAGGTATACCGACTCCTGCTCTATCGACGGCTTTGGCCTTCTACGATGGATTCCGAACCGGCCGATTACCGGCGAATCTGCTGCAGGCACAACGAGATTACTTCGGCGCTCACACATATGAGCTGCTCGATCAGGAAGGGAAGTTCGTTCATACGAACTGGACCGGACATGGCGGGAAAGTATCTGCTTCTACGTACGATGCATAAATTCTCGCGTAGTCAATAACTGTGACTGATAATGTACAAACAAATATCTAAAAAAATGCGACAATACAGTGTGGTAAATACACATAATTATGAACAATTACAATAATTGTATGAGTGATAACTGTTACATAGTTGTGACAAAAAATGACTCGACAACATGACAAAAAAAACTCAACACGAGTGGTTCTATAATTGAAAGAAGTCATGTATAACAAAATATTGTTAAACAATATGTTATATTTTCTCTTTTCAGATATTTTCTTTTTTTTTTGATAAACATTTTTATTAATATATTATAAAAATATTTAAAAAATTACAATGACTAAATAACAAAAAAGGTACATATATTTTTATTGTAATAATAATATATTCGAAAGGTTATTTAAAAGAAATATACATTTATGAATGAGAATAAATAATAAAATATTTTTTTTTTTTTAGAAAGTTCCTAGGATGCTTTTACGTCGTTAATTGCGATGTTTATTTCGTTTAGATTACGACTTTCGTACGCGCGTCGGACTACGTTCCACGCAGGTTGCACGTATATTTTAGGAAACAACGACTCAGAGAAGTAGGGAGAAGTTACGTAATTCGCAAGAGACGTTGGTTGATTGTAAATGTCGAATGTCGACGAGTAGGCGACTTGTATCGCTTGGTAAGATTATGCATCGTATAATCAAATAGTAAACAGCGCAGTTGTGGACTCTGTTCCCACTTCAGGTGGAACTACTGCAAACGCGGTTCTCAATCGTTCGACCGACGCGGGAATAACGGAGATAGAAAATCGCAAGAGAGCGGAGACGCGCGGGATCGAGTGAAACGCCGATTATGCAGCAGCGAACTCATTACCGCATTTCTCTTCCTCCGTTCTGTAACGCGTACACGCGAAAATATTGGAGCATGACACTTTCAATCGCACGCCGATGTTTTCCCCGTGGCTTGCGAAACGCGAAGCGCGAGCGGCGAGATGCAGCTTTGCGCAATCCGATTTTTCGCGCGCTCTCTGCCGTAACCCGTAACATGATTTCGAATGACGAGGAAATTCGTTATTCGGCTTCGAGACGCATCATTCGTCAGTGTTATTTTTTACGTTTGCGAATGTATTTAATCGTGCGATACACGTCGCTCCAACTCATCATGATTTAATGAATTATTGATATCGGTTCCAAGTATATGCTAAACCTTTTTTTTTAATTCGATTTTGTTTTTTAATAAGATCGATTGACCTCGACGTTTCCTTCCTTTGATGCTATACTTTTTTTTTCAGGAACTATTATTAGCCATGTTTTTATTTACTATCGAGGCTGTATACGTATATCATATTTCCGTATGCTTCGATGTAATTTTATATACATATATATATTATATATATATATATATATATCATTTATTTATATTGAAATACAAATAAAATAACTTATATTTGTATACACGATTATAGGTACGAATATTAACATAATGATATAATTGCTTTGCATTCTTTGATTGGTTAATTTATAAAATTGATTTTTTTGGATTGATCAATCAAAACTTCAAAGCATTAATTGATAGTGAGACTTTGACCGCATTCTATACCTCATATTTCATACTAAAACTTTTATTGCTTTTATTTATATTTCAATTACGCAAGCATGTAGCACGACAGTGTCAAAAATTAGAACTTGTCCGTTAAATTCCAAAAATACAAGGAACGACGATGGAAATAGTTCATTCGCTATTTGCTGCGTAACTCCGCAGGGGAAGAGATCTCCTCCATGCAATTATGATTCAACCGTTGCGTATCCCGTTTTGCGATTAGTCGGCAATTAAAATTAGCGATCAAATGCGAATCAATGCTCTCTCATTTATTCTGATCTTTAGAGAGCGTGGTTTTTTTCTGCGATATCACACGAGACAAAGAATATTCCGAATTGCCAGGCTACGTTTAAATGTCAGATGTGAACGCGCAAGTCTAAGCCGGCGGCTGAACTTTCTTATGGTTCTCCCCTCTCTTTCTCTTTCTTTTTTTCTTCTAATCCTTAGGTACATATTTGTCTTATTATTGGGACTCGCGGGAGTCTTCTGACATACAGTTCAAAAAGAATATTTTTCTTTTGTTTCCCTTTCTTTAGGCCTGTTCTTTTTCCCATACCCTAAGATTGAACTTCTGGCACAATTCATCTTTTGTCTTTTTTCCTCCATTGTGAATAGAAAAAGAAGACAGATGAATTGTGCAAGAAATTCAATCTGGAGTATGAAAAAAGAACAGGCCTTTTATTATAAAGTCCAGTGAGCTCTATACATGCTGGGTAAACGTTTACCTCGTTTTATTATAGTGTATTGAACGAGGTAGATGTATCTTTTTTACAATGTAAATTAATTTTAATCTCGGTTTAATTTATTCTTTATTCTTTTTATTATAATTCTTAAAAATAGAAAAAGATGAAGAGTCAGTTGAATTGAAATTAAAATTGATAGAAACGGGCATGAGTCGCATAAATTCTTGCATAGTTCATCTTTTCTCTTTTTTCTCTAATGTGGAAAGAAGAAGAAAGAAGGAGATGAATCATGCAAGAAATTTAATTAAAAAGAATAAGCCTATAATTGTTACTCTCGGTTTAATCCCCATCACGCATTTTTATAGAAAAGGCTCATTCCAATATAAAGCTTCTACTAGTCTTTATAATTAAAACAATATATTAAGATTTGACTCTTTTCAGACAATCTATCCAAAAAACAGGATACAGCGTCTCAAAGACATTTTTCATAAAAAACGTCTTTAAAACATCTTCTGATCTAGACTTCATATTATTTAGTTTGGATTATCTAACTAAAAAACAAAGAATTAAAATTAAATTCTTTGCAGAAGTTCTACGGCGAACTCCATAGCGATCATACATTTCTCAAGTACTCATCATCATTACATAGTCATGATTACAATCAGTATCTTCGGAATCTTCTTAAGTATTCTTTAATTTATATCAGATTTTATTTCTCACAGATGAGAGTAAGAATAAAGTTATTTGATCAAAATATTTGATCTTGTTCAAAGGATATACCTGTCGCGCGCGGATTAGGCTACGGGGCAAGGAGGGAGGGGCGTCATCGCGACGTCATCGGGCCGATGACGGAGTAGATCGGAGTAGACGGAGAGCCGGGAGTGCCGGGACAGCGGTGCGGGATAAGATATTACCGCATTTGCCGCTGTTTGCCGCGGTAGATAGTACGCGCTCGCAGCAGCGCTCGTGTTCACGTTTGGAAAATGGCCGACCACAGGGAACGGGATTATTATACGCAGACGGATCTGCGTTCTAAGAACGACGACCCGCCGAACTCGCGTCTCTTCGTCATCTGCCACAAGAGTCTCGAGGAGGATGATCTCAGGAAAGCATTCGAGAAGTTCGGCAAGATCGAGGATATCTGGGTGGTTAAAGATCGTAACACGGGCGACAATAAAGGTAATCCTGCACTGCATGTTTTAGATAAAAGCTAAAATCGATAAAATTCCGATCTGCCCTATCTGTTGAAAAAAAAATTACACTTTTTTCTCCCTTTTAACGCGCAGCTTTTTTATTTCCGTCCTGGGAAAAATATCACCTTCGCGTTTCTTTTTTTGTGTACGCCGGTGTATCCCTACTAATCGTTGTTTGCCTCTCAGGTGTCACATACATCAAGTTTTCTAAAACATCAGAAGCAGCGTTTGCTCTCGAAGAGATGAATGGCAAGATGCTAGGCTCCGTGGGCAGAGCTATTAAAGTGATGATCGCCTCAAAGTAAGTCCTTGGTATCATTCACTTCATTTATATTTTAATACCATTCAAAATTTATAATTATGAACATTGATTTGACATATATCAATGTTCATATTTAGAAATGTTATAACAGAATCTGATCACAGGCAGTTTTATCAAATGTATTGTTTCTCTTTATCTTGTTCTAATTTATGCTATCTATCTTATTTATTCTAACTTATTCCTATTTCTTCCGGTATAGATAAACTTTAATCTTAGTTTTATTTGTACTTTTTATTTTTTTTTGTTCTTAGAATTAGAAAAAGTTGCAGAGTTAGTTAAACATTAAAATTAAACTATCTTGGTAGAAACGGATATTACTGAAATTGACGAAAACGATGGGCCAATCAAAAATTCATTATTCCATGACCGGACTGTTATAGGCCGTAATCATACTACAGATTGTTGGTTATGGTTGCTGGTTGTTGATTCTATTCAGTTTTATCTTAGCCAATCATGATGCAGCAACTGCAAGTTAGCAACGTGCTAACGTGCTAACTTATATCTTATTTATTCTAACTTATTCCTATTTCTTCCGGTATAGATAAACTTTAATCTTGATTTTATTTGTACTTTTTATTTTTTTTGTTCTTAGAATTAGAAAAAGTTGCAGAGTTAGTTAAACATTAAAATTAAACTATCTTGGTAGAAATGGATATATTATAGATAGTAGAAATGGACTGAAGTTGACGAAAACGATGGACCAATCAAAAATTCATTTTTCCGTGACCAGACTGTTATAGGCTGTAACCACACTACAGCACTTGCAGCGCTGCAACATGATTGGTAAAAATAGAATCAACAACCAGCAACCGTAACCGCCAATCTGTGTGATTTCGACTATAGGAATCTCTATCCATGCTTACTGCTTTCTTTTTTCTTAATCCTTAGTATATGATTGAGTCATTCATATCTTGCATATTTCTTTTCTTTGAAACTAGAGCACTTAAGTAAATAATGGTCTCTATTCTTTCCTTTTTTTAATATACAGCTTTATACTTTCTAAAGATGTTGAAGTATATGTATAAAGTATATATACTTATATTTATTTCTATCATTATAGTTTAATTTTAATCTCACAATCAGTTCAATTCTTCTCCTTCATTTAGTTGGAAGAATTAAAAAAAATGAAGAGTAAGTTGAACCGAGATTAAAGTTAATCTACATTGTTAGAAACAGATATGAATAATTTTTGTATAAAAATTATGAAAATTAACATGACTTATTATACAGGCTGTGTTCCCAAATTGACTGCCTGTACTGAAAATTATAGTGCACGTAACGTAAACTGTCGTATTTTCAGTGCTGACAGTAAATTTGGAACACAGCC